TTTCCTCCTTTTCCTCCACCTTTATATTCCCGAGGTTGGTTTATTTGTGTTTCCCTCCTCCGCACTCAGGATTTGCATGGCGCAGAATTGTGGAAGCATTTAGGGTGGAAAAGACCCTTAAGAGCATCGAGTCCGACCGTTAACCAAGGCCACCACTGACCCACGTCCCCAAGCACCACATCTACACGTCTTTTAAACACCTCCAGGGCCGGGGACTCCACCGCTCCCCTGGGTGGTGTTCCAGGGCTTGACAACCCTTTTGGTGAAGAAGTTTTTCCTCATGTCCAACCTAAACCTCCCCTGGCGCAAGGTGAGGCCGTCTCCTCTCGTCCTATCGCTTGTTACTTGGGAGAAGAGACCGACCCCCACCTCACCCCAACCTCCTCTCAGGTAGATGGAGAGAGGGATAAGGGCTCCCCTCAGCCTCCTCTTCTCCAGACAAAACACCCCCAGTTCCCATCAGACTTGTTCTCCAGACCCTTCACCAGCTTTGTGGCCCTTCTCTGGACACGCTCCAGCACCTCAATGTCTGTCCTGTCATGAGGAGCCCAAAACTGCACCGGGTTTTCCACCGGGCAGCTTTCCAGCCACTCTTCCCTGTTGCATGGGGTTGGTGTGACCCAAGGGCAGGAGCCGGCGCTTGGCCTTGTTGAACCTCGTACAATTGGCCTCAGCCCATCGACCCAGATCCCTCTTCCTACCCTCCAGCAGATCAACACTTCCCCCCAACTTGGTGTCATCTGCAAACATACTGAGGGTGCACTCCATCCCCTCACCCAAAATGAACTTCAAGTGGCGTTTGAACGGCGGTGCCCCCCGCACACCCTCCCCAGCCAGAGCATCCTCTCACAGCCTGACCATGGTGGGGGGGGATGCAGGACATGGGGACATGGGCTGGAGCCCAATATTTGCAGCAAGAAGGGCCACATGGACCAGTGCAAATGGCAGCAGGGGGCAGGTCAGGACCCCCATCCCCTTCCCATGGGGCAAAGAGGTGTTAAAAGTGACGCTCAGCCTCGCAATCCTGTGAGGAGCCCCCCCGCAACGACAAGCCCCGCTGCCAGCGGGGAGTAGGAGGTAATTTATGGTGGGTGCAGCGCAAAGCTCGGCGACGCTAATAAGGCGCCGGCTGAAGCTGTTCCTGCCTGCGCCTGGTGATAGATCTTGGCTTGTCAGGTTGGAAAATTAAAATGTTATTGATGGGGGAAGTGAAGTGCAGCAGGATTTTTGATTTTTATATTTTATTTTTCTTTCTCCTTGGTCAAGCTGGGAGCTCTCTTGGGCAGCATTGAGTGCCCTGATCCCACCTGCCCAGGGGTTCCCTGCTGCATCCCACCCTGCTGGGATGGCTTGGACTTATATTGCCTTTTTTTTGAGTTTGTTTTTTTAAAATTTTTTTTCCCCACCCCTAGGAAGCAGCACAGGACAAAAATACAAATATGCTCCACCAAGGCCAGGGGCTGTGTCGCCCCCCAGTCCCATCAGCACCTTCTCAAGGAAAAATTCCCAAAACAACCGCTCCCGAGCCCTTCCCGGCTGCAGGACTTCTGGAAGGAGGGATTTTTTGGAAGAAGTGGGATTGATTAATTCAAGTCCAGGTGGAGGAGACTTTAGCGAAGCAGCAGAACAGCTGCCACATCAAAAGATGTGCCGGTCTCTGGGCAGGGAAATGCCGGCGCTATTTTTAACTAATTAAATAGACGATTTAGCACCGGACTGATACTCTACAAAAGAAATTCAACAGAAAAGCCCAATTAAACCACGTGGCTCTGATTGAACCCACATTTCAAATCCCAGTCCATCACCTCAGGCCATGTTTTCCCCCTGGGGCTGAGCCTCCCAGCTGCTCCCGGTCCCTAATTTGCCTCTGTGGACCAGGTCTGGCAGGGAGCAGCCCCAAAATCAGGCTCGGGGATGTTTATTCCTCAGTGGATAAAGCCAGAAGGGACTAGATTTGTAATGCTGGTAAGGAGCCCTGATACCACGGGGGGGTGGTCCCTAGAAATCCAGAGATGATAAAAGCCCTCTTGCTGAATCAGAATTGGAAGCCCAGCTGTATTTTTTGGGGAAAAATGGAGTTTTAGTTCCTGCCCTTGTTGTGCAAAGGGTCTTAGCCACCGTGTCTGCTTCCGTGGCCCTGGCCCATGTGGCTGTGGGCACTGGGGGCTTGGTCTGGGGAGTCTCAGCCGAATCCAGCCTGGACCATGGGAGCCCAGGACCATGTGTTGGCCATGGAAGGGCATTTAAATTTTGAATTATTTTTCTATTTTTTTATTGCTGGACTCCCAAAGGGGCTGCATGGGACGAGGCAGCGGGTGACGAACGGCCCCAGCTCCGTGGGGACGTCGCATCGCAGAGGCTGCAGAGATTTCTTGCTCCTCTCCCACCTGATGGATGCAACTATGGGGGTTGGTGGGTGTTTTTGTCGAGGGCCCCCCCCCCCCCCCCCCCGCCACAATTCGGGGGT